GTAGTAGTAGTAGTAGTAGTAGTAGTAGTAGTAGTAGTAGTAGTAGTAGTAGTAGTAGTAATGGTAGTCGTAGTCTGCTTACAGTCGTAGTAGTGGTTGCACTGGTAGTGCTCGTAGTCGTGCAGAAATGGTCGTGGTAGTGGTAGTGATAAAGGTAGTAGTAGTAGAAATACTAGTAATCGGAAGAATAGTCGTCTTAATAGCAGTAGTAGTCGTGGTAGTCGTAAGAATGATAAGTTTAGTCGTACTCGTAGTAGTGGTCGCAATGATAGTAGTAGTAGTAGTAGTAGTAGTCGTCGGAATTGTAGTCGTAGTAGTAATAGTACTGGTACTGGTAGTGGTAGTAGTAGTAGTAGTAGTAGTAGTAGTAGTAGTAATAGTAGTAGTAGTAGTAGTAGTCGTAATAATAGTGGTAGTCGTACTAGTCGTAGTACTAGTAGTCGTAGTCGTAGTAGTAGTAGTAGTAGTAGTAGTGGTAGTGGTAGTGGTAGTGGTAGTAGCAGCAGTAGTAGTAGTAGTAGTAGTAGTGGTGATGGTGGTGGTGGTAGTAGTGATAGTAGTACTACTAGTAGTAGTAGTGGTTGTGGTAGTAGTAGTAGTAGTAGTAGTAGTAGTAGTAGTCGTAGTAGTAGTCGTAGTAGTAGTTGTAATCGTAGTAGTAGTCGTAGTAGTAGTAGTAGTAGTAGTAGTAGTCGTAGTAGTAGTAGTAGTAGTAGTAGTAATAGTAGTAGTAGTAGTAGTAGTAGTAGTAGTAATAGTAGTAGTACTCGTAGTAGTAGTAGTAGTAGTAGTAGTAGTAGTAGTAGTAGTAGTAGTGGTAGTAGTAGTAGTAAAAGTAGTAGTAGTAGTAGTAGTAGTAGTAGTAGTAGTAGTAGTAGTAATAATAATGATAAATAACGACCTGACCGTCCGGGCCGCACGCCCTGCGCGTCCAGGTCCCGAACGCCCTGCGCGTCTCGGTCCCTCGTGAAGTCCTTAAGAATCCTTAGGGGCCCTGCGAATCCTTTCGATTTGATAAGGTTCCCAAAGATATCACCATCTCGGAATCCCTACGAATCTCCAGGAATCCCTACGGATCCCTAGGAATACCTAGAAATCCGTTCGATTCCATCGGAATCCCTAGGAATCTCTAAGAATCCAAAGGAATCCGGAGAATCCCTGCGAATCCTTAGGAATCCGTAGCGAATCCTCAATGCGCGTCCGGGTCACTAGGGCAATCCTTAGGACCCCCTGCGAATCCTTACGATTTGCAAAGGTTCTCAAGGACTTCACTATCTCGGAATCCCTCGGAATCTGTAGGAATCCCTACAAATCCCGAGGAATCCCCAGCGAATGAATTCTTTAGGAATCTCTCGGAATCCCTACGAATCCCTAAGAATCCTTAGGAATCCCTGCGAGTCCCTGGGGGTCCCTGGAAATGAACCCCTAGGAATCCCTGGGAATCCCTGGCGAATCCTTACGACTCGTTGCGAAAACCGAACGCCCTGCGCGTCCGGATCCCTAGTGCAATCCTCAGGAATTCCTGCGAATCCTTATGATTTGCCAGGTTTCCTAAGGATTTCACTATCTCGGAATCCCTAGGAACCCATAGGAATTTTTTACAAATCCTAAGATTTTCTAAGAATCCCTGCGAATCCTTAGGAATCCGTAGGAATCCTTACGAATCCTTAGGAATCCCAATGACTCCCTAGCGACTCCTTAAGACTCCTTGCGCAAACCGAACGCCCTGCGCGTCCGGGTTCCTAGTGAAATCCTTAGGAAATCCGCAAATCCTTACGATTTGGAAGGTTTCCCAAGGAATTCACTATCTCGGAATACCTAGGAATCTATAGGAATCGCTGCGAATCCATAGAAATCCATAGGAATCCCTTCGAGTCCCTACGAATTCCTATGAATCCTTTGGGATCTCTACGAATCCGTAGGAAACTCTACGAGCCCCTAAGAACCCCAACGCGTCCTTACGAAGTCTTAGGAATTCCTTACGAATCCTTAAGACGCCTTGCGCAAACCGAGCGCCTTGCCCGTCCGTGTCCCTCGTGAGAAGCTTAGGACCCCCGCGGGTTCCTACGATTTGAAAACATCACAAGAATTTCATTACCTAAGAACCCTTAGGAATGCTTTGGAAACCTTCGATTCTTCAGAAATCCTGTGGGATCCCTCGGATTCCTAAAAGAATCTGGAAGGATCCGTAGGAATCCCCAAGAATCTTTAGGATTCCCTGAAAATCCGCAGAAATCCCAAAGAATCCTTAGGAATCCTAAGGACTCCCAATGAATTCCTACGAATCCCTAGGGATCCCGGAAGAATCCTGAAGACTCCTTGCGCAAACCGAACGCCCTGCGCGTCCGGGTCCCTAGTGAAATCCTCAGGAAGCCCAGCGAATCCTTACGATTTACAAGGTTTCGTGCTCCTCCCACCCCTCCAGAGGGGGCCCCGCCTGAGCGAGGAGGGTATCGGAAACCTGTACTATTTACATGGTTTCGTGCCCCTCCCACCTGTC